GGAATAGCTATACCACTTAAGAAGCTTTGCTGTCTGTTCATAAGAACATTCCTTATTAGCCTGAAGGAATTTTAAGGCTAGATCATATGAGACAGTTAAGTCATTCAGATGGCCCTCAGACTTCATATGGATGAAAAACCATCTGGAAAAAAAAAATCCCCAAAACTATAGCTGGCTTTATATCACAGCTAGAAAGGTAACAAAATAGTCCAATGCACAGAACCAATATCTGCAAAATAAGTGTAAGCTTGATCTTTTCCTTTCTTTTTAAGAGAAAGACACTAGCTTATACTATTCAGGTCCTGAAATTTCCAATCTGTAGAATATAAGCTATCTTCATTAAACTAATAACGAATCTAATCTTGTTTATTCTTTGCTCCACAGAGTTTACAAAGTCCAAAGTCCAAGCTTTTCTGCAAAATTTCCAGGCTTTCCTTCTGGAGAGAAGGGTAAAGACAGGAAAACTGACTACCCAACTTATTTACAAAAGCTGAAGATCTTAACACAAGAGACTGAGAATTCAGTCTCAACATATCTATGTTGAAATTCAAATTAGATGCTGGACCTGGACCAAAATCATCCCTGCTTTAACAAGCACTTAAACACCGATTTATCTATGACTGGAGTGCTTTAAGCACTGTACAGACTACTAGCAATTTTAAAGCAGAATCTTCCTCTTGGTTTTAACTTTTCTGCAGATTTACTCCAGGTTTATTCCAGTGCAGAGCAGAAAAGAGCTTTAAAATGTTTAATACTTTTTTTTACCCACTGAACTACTTCCTGTATGATTCTTAAGGGAATTTATTTCCCATGACCTGACAAGTACAGTATTAGAAGACACCGAAAGAAAAGCAGAGTTGGTTCAGCAACATGCAAAGTTTCCCTTCATGGAAAATTCCCACAGATTACCATAGAACGCTGGGTTTGTTTTTTTTAAAGGATACATTAAACGGAAAATTACTGTTCAGATGATACAGAAGTACAGTTTGTTCGAAAACTGTCATGTAGAGCTCTGCAACATATACTCTCTATCAGAAGTGCTGGGGGTGGGATTGAGAGGGTTCCGTCTCTTTTTAAAAAAAGAGTTTAAGACCTTTGGGACTTTTTTTAATGAATGGACATTCTTCTGAAGAAAATTATTTTTACTCTTAACCTTGCATCTACAAAGTTGGGTACTCAAAAACCACGAAATAACGTCTGTCTATATTCTCTAGTAACAATCCTAACAACATTTACGTTATGCAGCAAGAAAAGCATATTGAAAGTGAATACTGAGATAAAGCCATCAAAAGAGAATGCTCGAAGTGCTGAGACAGAAGCAGTGTGCTCTGTTTTCTAAATGTTTGCTAGCACCATGATCTATGCTAGAACTGCCACCAAAAAGACTCATCCTTCCTGCCTTAAGTCAGGTGAGTTCCTCAATTCTACGGGCTCTATGAGCAACCATATGAGCACCTGTCTTCACATATGCATGAGGATCTTTCCAAGTCTTCACACAAGAAGAACAGTTTCTTCTACAACTTGCAAAAAAAACTTTTGCAAACAAAAAAACTCTCCCATCAAAAAAAACAAACAAAACCCAGCAACAAAACAAAACCCTTTTGAGCAGATATGAAAGGAAAAACAGAGCTAATAAGCCACCTGACCAGATACCCTCAGCAGTAGGGTAACTTCACCATACCATGCTGAAGACTACTTGACATTAGCAACTATGTTCATAGGCTCTCAGAATTACAAACTTCCAAGTTTCTCAAGGAAGTTACACATTTTCATATAGTAACATGACAGATCTTAAAATGTTAATTTTTTTTTTTGTTGCTAAAAAAAGCACAAGCATAGTGAGAGACACATTAATCTCTTGTTTTCCAGACATTGAAAGTGCAAATATTTTGAGGGTAACCTATTCTGTCAGGGCATCTACAACATAAGAAAAAGATGTTTACCCTCTGTTTCCCATGATTCTCAACAGTGATGACTGAGGACATGAAAGGGGTGTTAAGTGAACCTTAAAGTATGTCTGACAACAGGATAAAGCTTTCCAATAAATATTTGCATGCTTTATTCCTGAAACTGTAGTTCCTTTGAACTGCCAAAAAGGCTATTTGGTTTTGCTTGACTTACATAATACCAGGGATTACTGTATTATAACTTAACCTTGACCTTCAGTCAATAATGGAGATATGAGACTTGGACATCCACTGCACAGTAAGCACAGGTATTAGAAGTAGGTTACTCTTTCTACAGGAAGGGCTGGAGAAAAAGGAAAGAGCACTAAGAGCACATCTCACAAGAGCAACATTTTTAGTAATGTTTACATTAAGACATTACAGTAAGTGCATAAGAGTGTTCTTACTTTAAGTTAGCAAGTTAAGAAGGGCATAATATGTTCTTTTGCACAAGAAGGTAACTTTGTCTAAGAAGTAAAGCCAGTGCTGAAGCAACATGCCATAGAACTTTTAGAAATTACTTGATCCACTGGAATATCAGCCCTGAAAAATACAGAATTCACAAAGAGGAGTGTTGTGAATGTTTTAATACAAACAAGGAATGAACAGCTGCAAATACATAAGTCTCTCCAATTCTACAGGCATACTAACAGTGTGTTGTATCTGGCTTTGCATCATTGCTGTAAATGAATGGAAAATGGATAAAGAGCACAAACAGAGAACAGAGATCTTTTCCCAGAAACACCTGCTGTTTTTTCTGTACTTGAAGTAATGCTAAAAGCAACATTAACACCTCAGCTAGTCACTTAATGCATTACTACAGTAATTAATTTATTACCAGAGTTCTGCCTCAAGAAACCAGTGCTGGCTCTTCAGACAGAGCACATGGGCAAGAAACAGAAGTGGGGATAGACTTCCTCACTGAATGAGGCTGAAAACTGTAGAGTTAACTGTGGCACTGAAATAAAAGAACAAAAGCTTTAGCTAGCTAAAATCACTAGAACAAAGCTTCACTATAATATCAAGGCCACTAAAAGAAAAAAAAAATAGTAGGCCTCATTTTACATGGTACCAGCTGGCATTATTTCAGTTCATTTCAAAAAGATCATTTGTCTTTTTTGTAAAATGTAAGACATTGTACTGCAGGACATCCAAGCAGCCACACAATATTTTTATTCTGTTGTAAGAACTATCTGCAACTATGAAGATAGAAAAAATTAAAAAAAAATCTGTCTTAAAAAAGCAAAATACTCCATCAGAAAGTTTTGCATGCATAAATAAGAAATTATAAGTAATGCTCTGTGTAAGTCAGAAAGGTATTAATTTGGAAGTCTAACATACAAGATAATTTTGGAAGTTGACTCAGTACAGGAAACAGTTCAGGTTTATTAAGAGAAATACTGAAATACAGCTATTCAACTGGTAAAAGTATGATGTTAAAGAGCATTTGCTAAAGAATCATTTAATATTACAGCCAATTTGGCATTTTTACAGCATTGATATAATACTTCAAGGCTATGTGGCTGCAGTCTTTACTGGGTTGGAAAAAAGATGAATCACAAGAAAAATTATATTAAGCTAGTGAAAAAGGGAGGGAGCACTAATTACTTTTATGCATAGAAAATACAGAGAAAGGGCCATGATAAATTCAGGGAAAAATAAAGTTATATTTTAAGAATATCATATGCAAGTTGAAAAGGAATTTAGTTTGCTGTTTCTAGTCCAGAAATGGACTTCATTGCTTATCATTAATTTCTTCAACTGAGCTAATCAAGACATTGTGTTGCTAGCTGTATAATTCTCTACACTCCTACAGAAAAGGACCACATATGAGCTCGTGAAACTCAGTGTCAGGCTATACCTAAACTACACTAACATTAGTTCAACAAAACTATCAATAAAAGCAACAAACAAACAGAATAAGCACTCTGTGCAAACTTGCTGTATGACAGAAGCCATGACCCCTAACAGGAAATACTGAGCAAGGTACTTGGGCCTGATTCATATGCAGACATTTGCCACCCAGGAGAGTAAAAGGCAAAAGCATTAGACTCAAGTTATGACTGTAAGAAATTAAATTAATATATACTGCCATAGTATCAGAGTTACAAGTCAGAACTGATTTGCCCAGTAATTCCAAACTCAACTTTATAACATCTGCTTGGCTGCTGCACCTCTTTCAAAAAGACAGCTGCTATTTACTCAGGGGACACAGGGCTTTCCAGTCATCTTCAGTATCTTTCAAGAAGGGCTTTTCAATGAGTAATTAATTACAAGCAGCTTTTAATTCAGCAAATACACACCGATGCTCAGGAAACTGATTTGGACTGCCAACTCTCTTGAAAAAGACTTGGAAATTGCTGCAAGTAGAAACATCATCTGAAGACTTCTCTGTCTCCTGGCAGACAGAAACTAGCACCAGGTGTCCTGACTGGCATAAACACCAAAACAAACCCAATATGAAGTCCTTAAAACTCTGCCAGATTTTGGAACACCATCTGCCACTTAATCAGCTGTGATTCCTCCCTCTGCCGTACAACCAGACACACATCAACACACTCAGATAATTTCAACTCATTCAAGTGTGGTCTGCTGTGATACACAGAGACAGCTCTCACCAACAGGCTATCCACCAGGAACCTTTCAGAAAAACATGTTGTTCTGTGTGATTCTTCTATTTATTTGTTTTGAAGCCCCAACATGTGACCTTTAGGTCATTACTTACCCCACTGTGGCTAAACAGCAAAAACTACATCCAAGTTTCATTGCCATAGTGTTTTTTTGTTACAGTTAAAACTTCCTTCTGCTTCACTGGAAACAGAGTGACAGATAGCATAGACTGCATATTCTAAGAGCTGTGTAGCCAGAAGACAGTAAGTAGAAAAAAAAACCCTCAAGACTTTACTCCATATCTCTTGAAACTGGAATTAGTGATAGTTTACAAAGTTATCTGCTGCAAAACTGTCCTTCCAAGAAAAGAACAAATACAGTAATATCATGATAAACAATTAAGTTGTACCACAGAAAATGTAAAAACACGTTCAGAAAACTCACCAGAACCCAAACATGATAGGCTTTGGTGTCCGTTTCTTCCAGGAGTACCTACAATGTTGAGAGAGAAAAAAAGAAGAGAATTACACTTTAAGTCAGTAAGAGGCGGGGGGGGTGCCTTTTTTTTTTTTTTTTTTTAAGATTCTTTCCACATAAGCTCCTCAAACTTTACAATTTCAGTTTCTTTCTTGCAATGGTTGATAGCATAGTCAACAGCAAGATTTAGCATTATAAGGTTAAACTACTTGGAAAATGCATCATGAACTCTCAATAAGCCAAACATTTTTTTTCCCATTACAATAAACACACTTCACTTAGGTCAGGTAGCACCCTTTTATTTTACTCATTCATAGAGGACCATAGATAGTAAAAAACAATCATCTATGCTGGCATCATAGTAATTTTTTCCACCTACATGCTCCAGTTATTGGGATAAAGGAAGTATGAATTAACAGCACTCTCAAATACGCTAACAATCAAGTTAGATATAAAATGAAAGCACTGAGAAGGTTAATCTATGCTTACTGTATTGTTTTAAGTTCATGTGAATACTGACATCCTCATTATTTTGAAGGATATTAATTAAATTAAAGCACTCTTTCAGACTGCTAGGTATAAGTGCAGAAGTTATGTGCAGAAGTTCATAAAAAGTCGGCTGACAACACCTATCAGCTTTCTTCAGGCTTTACCAATAGTGTGTGATCCTACAACAACAGGTGTTTCAATGGAAACAATCTGCTTCATACCACAACTGTACTTGCTTGCCTCACCTCTGCCATGCAAATGGAACTCTGCTCCCAAAGTGAAAATTCTGTCTTACAAAGCTTGCGTGAGGATTCGTATCTATTCTTTTTCATAGACTCTGGTAACAATGACTGATTTCAATTGGAAGTTAAAGATAAAACAAGCACCTGATGCAGAAACATAACATGGAGTAAATATCCTCAATAGTCAAAACTGATCAGCGCACTTACACAAGAATCTTGCTTAAACACAAACTTGAGAAGTGTCTGGGTTGTGTCTTACAAGTATCCAATCTTATAAGCCAGTGACAGAACATCGTTTAACAGACATTGTCAAGTATACTAAGTCCCCATGGGGCACAAGTTTCAAGTGGAGAGTGGACAATGAATGCCCTGATTTTACCACCCAGATAAAACAAATACATATGGAACACCTTGCAGAGCCAGTTTCCAATGCTATGAAATAAAAGGACTGACTGACCATCTCAGTTACTCTGAAGTCCCAGAGCATAGCTGCTCTCTCAAGATGGAGGAATTCAAGAATATAAGTGAAAATCTGACTTTACCCAACAACTGATTACCTCTAGCTTCACTGGCTTTCCTTGCTGAGTGCAGTGGCCCAGATGATTTTGGTGTGCACTGACTCAGTGAAGCAGGCCTGGCCTTGGCTCCTAGAAGTAGAAGCTTAGATCAGGTTTAAAAGTACCACTATACCAGAAATTAAAGGAACAACTGGAAATACGTAATAGCAGACAAGTATAAAATACACAAATCTACTGAAGTAAACAGAGAAACACCTTCTAGAAAACTTAAGCTATATTTAAACTTAGCTTTGCTTTACCAAAGCTCACATTGGAAGAAATAGATAGTTTTAATAAAGCTTCTAAGCAGAAGAAAATGTTAGTAACTTTAGCACTAAGACCAAATTACGTAAGTCTCAAAACATCACCAAATACAACACAGCTATGAAAACACGGACTGAAAGGGACCTCCAGAGGCCAGCTATCCAGCCTCCCACTCAGAACAGGTCCACCACCAAGATGAGATCAGCTTACCGTGCTTTCGTCTAGCCAAGCATTGTAAACCTTCAGGAAGGGTGGCTCTATGGCCTCACTGGGCAATGCTGCATTTCCCACTCCAAAATTTGAAATAATTTCTCATTGCCACATCATCTGCTACTACTGAAGAGTTTGGCACCACCACCTTTGTAGCTGTCCTTTCCAAGTTACTGCAGACTGTTACAGTATCTCCCTTTATGCTTCTTTTGGCCTGACTACACAAGCTCAACTCCCTCAACCCCTCCTCACAGGTCACATTGTCAGAGACTCTACCCATCTTCCTAGGTCTCCAGTTGAACTTTCCAGTCTCAAAACAGCCCTCTTGAACTGGGAAGGCCCCAAAACACAACAGAGTAGTCCAAGTAACACCAACCCAAGGGGTGAATATCAGCTTCTTCTGGCCACACTGCTCCTGCAGGTGCTGAAGACCAGCTTCTGGCACCCAGATCACTAGAGATGCTGAGCCATATATCATTGTGTTGCACATGTTGGACCCCAACAGAAAGCATCAGCTTGTCAGACAGTCAAATAATTTGTGTTTGTTTCAAAGTGATTTACAGTTTGTGGCAAATTCTATTTCTTTTCACTGTTTATCATTTTAAAGCATGTCATTATAACCTGACATTCAGCAGGCATCTCCTCCTATTTATTCTCAATTATGTCAGATACCAGCTTGAAACTTAAGCCTAAAGCAGGAGCACAGTACTTATTTAGGTTTATCCAATTACAATAACCAGTTCACCGCAAAGACTGTCAGAAGCAAGCTGATTATAACTAGGATTTAGGAGAGAGACACAGCAAGCTTATTTATCTGCTCCCATTATGTCTTTAATTTTGACCAGAGAATGAGTTTAACTTCTGTGCTTAAAGCACTGTTGGCCAATCAAGTGCCCCTGGCTCAAACAGGAACCAGAAGAGTGTTTAACAGAAAGCCAGAAAATACATATAAATTAATGTTTCTTTTAGCATCAGATAATGAAGGACAATTGTTCTATCTGCATTAAAAATTAGTGCAAATCTCTGTTTCCACTTCAGTCAATAAGAAGAGTACCAAGAAAAGCGGCATTAAGAGTTAAGCTGTTTCTGTGTCTCTTCATTTGGAAAGATGGGATGTCACTCATCTATGAGAGAAGATACTTTATCTAGTAATACCTTATTAAAAAAAATCCCCATCCCCAAGGTTCTTTCTGTCCTGATAGAGGTGAAGGTAATACAAAGTCTGCATGAGGACAAGGACGACCATACACTCAGGATAAAATCAGGGTAGGTCTACTCTGCAGATCACCAGCAGACAGAGTCTGTACCTGAGCTTTGTGACAGAAAAAACCTCTTATTAAAACAATGTAAACCCCGCACGACACCTGCCACATAGCAAAGTGCATTTAGTCCCTGTGCCATGCAAAACTTAGCCATATCACAGTGCAAGCGTCCTCCTCATTTGCCTGAAATACCTCTGTCAATTACGACAACACAAAGCACATTTCAGCCTTCCTATGAAGCCTCACAAAATCTGAAGCACCACTGAAGTGACTTTGCTTCCTCACACTATTTTCTGAGACCAGTGTTTAATAAACACTGTTTCAGGAGGCAGCCACCTGCTATAGGTAAGGTACCATAACGGTAGTAATTATAGTTTCCCTCTAGGTATAAACAGACCCATATACCTTTTGGAGTTGTCTTCAACGAATGTAATCTAGGTCTTGGTACTGCTTTCAGAGGGACAGATCCCAAAGCACCATTCTGGCAGGTTGGTTTTGAAGGCCATTCTCTTTTGTTGGTGATGACTGTGGCATTTGCAGCTGTAACAAAGAACAACCAAGAATTTGCTTTAGGCAGCATCTAGTTTGAGTAAAATTAAACCCTAAAACAAGACTCTTACCAAAGACTTAAGTTAGGAGAAACACAAGTTGGAATACAAATACTATGAATACCTCTGACAATCATTACAAACAAACTGATGTGCTGCAACAGATGTGACTGTTACAAACACTTCTCTGAACCAGACATACAGCTTTGAACTCTGCAGAAGAGGAGGATATATATTAAAAAGCCTATTGGTTAAGATACATAACTAGAAGTCTGAGCTTGCTGTACAAAGCAAACGCAGAACACATTCCAATTTAAGCCAAGAAAAAGTATTATCAGGTACATGAGGACATCCTGGCCACAGAATGGACTGTTAAAGTAAAAGACAAAACTCAGACAATTTCCCCATGTAAAACCTTCTCTTCTCTCGCGTTTGAGTCGAGCGTGCCGTTTCAGTGATATGGTGCACACACCACCACCAGACTCTGCACTCCTGTCCTCCTCGTGAGGCAACACAGTTGTGTGAGCCCAACTCCAGTCACCGCTACCGAACAGGTTTTAATAAGAATTCCTGCAGTCTCCATTCATAACTGCAACCTCCTCAGTGACCGCAGACCTCAGATCCTCCCACCTCCAAGACACATTCCCCTCTCCAGAAGAGAGCTGAAGTCATGCAGCAAAATATTCTCTGCTAAAAGGGGAAGACAGAGCCAAATTGCGGAAAGCAGGACAATAAGCAAGTGCTAACTCATAAAAATCAGGTTTCTAACTAACAGGGCAGTTGCTAAAGAATGTGCTCTTCCACTTCAAAGGAATTTGATAGAGGTTTGGGCTCAGTGTCACTATGAAAATTTTTACTTGAAAAAAGCAAACTGAAATTTGAGGAAAGCATTACTTTATTTTTCCAGGAAAAATATGAAAATATTGCTGAAATAAGTATAGATTGAGTACACTTTGGTTCAGGTACTAAAACGTTACATATACTGACACATTAAAGAGTAAGAAGTTGACACTGCATTTACCAGAGACAAGCAAAACCACTGGAATAGTTAGTCACACTGTTGCTTTTTCTTCTAGTCATTAAGAGAACACAAAAAAGTGTGTCTGGGTTTGCCTCAGATTAAGAAAGAAATATAATCAGCCTCATTACAACAAAGGTAATGTGAACTACATTACCTAATACTGTTCATCAAAAGATGGAACATACAGCCTTGAGATTATTTTAGTGTATTTTAATACACTTACAAGCCATTTAAGTTAACTGCTTCAAAAAGATTATTTTTGGCCATGAATCAGTGCAACTTCTGCAACATGAAGAGGGACAAAATTGCTCTCTATTTCAGAAACAGAACTAACTGATGTTGTCCTGCTTTGTTGTTTGTTTTTTTTTTTTAAATAATAAAGTTGGAGCCTCTCTAAAGGCACAAAAGCTAAATGTTTGCAAAAAAACCAAACTATACACGATAAACAATTTGCATAACACATCAATGACATCTATGGGAATCTGATCCTGAACAACATCAGATGATTCAAGTTAATTTGTTCTAGTAAAGCATGAGGCCTGAAGCAGTCTTGAAATTTTTCTGTAAATCACAAAATTAAGGATTTTTGCGTATAGAGTTCACTCCAAGCAGCTAACAACTGCTTACAAACTGCTGTGCTACTTTGGTTCCCCCCCCCCCCAGGTAAGAAGCATGCCATGGAAGTAACACTTTGGGTAAGTGAGCACACTTCTGGTGTGGGACTAGTCAGGGCGCTCTTTATTTGTATTAGAAACTCAGGAGTCAGCTAACCAGGCTGTGTGCAGAAAAAAAGGCAAACTTGCCAAGTTTTGTCATTATATGATTAAAAAATGGTTTGTCGTATAATTAGGAGTGGTTATTGCAATCTTGATGAAAGATGGACAGATATGAAGTGATCTCACCCCAGCCAAGGTCTAAAGGACCACAAGAATTTTAGTGAATTACTGACTGCATGGAAATGCAGCTCCAGGTCAATGTCTAGGATCAGCTTTTTAGCTTCTGAAACACTATTTCTTTTATATGCAATTATTCTAATGCAATTCAAATTTTGATTCTTGTTTTTAACCTCAAGAGTTTAAACATTTCAGTGTGCTCAACTCATGGCATTTTTCAGCTCACCACTGACATTGAGAAAGTTTCTCTACTGTTAAAAATGCAATTTCTCAATGCTCAAACTGACAACTTGCATGTAAAATATGCTTTTATTAACAACAACATTCCAAACGTCATTATTTCCAAAAATTCTCAAATAGTAAGTCTTTTTAGAGAGAAAGAATCATAAAACTCAAGTGCTCACAAGACAAAAAGAAAACCCTAATGCTGCCACAGGAAATTATCAACCCAAGGACAGACCATAACAAAGGGCTGAGCTGACACAGCAGGAGAACCG